TGGATTATCTCACTCAAAATGATATTTTCTAGCTCCATCCATTTTCCTGCAAAATTCAAGATGTCATTATTTTTTTTCTGCTGTGTAGGACTCCATTGTGTAAATATATCACATTTTCCTTATCCATTCTTCCATTGGAGGGCATTTAGGTTGTTTCCAGGTTCTGGCTATGACAAACAATGCTGCTATGAACATAGTTGAGCACATGTCCTTGTGGCACGATTGAGCATCCTTTGGATATATACCCAAAAGTGGAATTACTGGGTCTTGAGAAAGGTTGTTTCCTAATTTTCTAAGAAAATTGACATCCAAAGGGGCTGTACCAGTTTGTATTCCCACCAGCAATGCAGAAGTGTTCCCTTTACCCCACAACCTCTCCAGCATAAGTTGTCATCAGTGTTTTTGATTTTGGCCATTCTTACAGGTGTCAGATGGAATCTCAGAGTTGTTTTGATTTGCATTTCTCTGAGGACTAAGGATGTTGAACATTTCCTTAAGTGTCTTTCAGCCATTTTAGATTCCTCTGTTGAGAGTTCTCCGTTTATGTCTGTACTCAATTTTTTTTAATTGGATTATTTTTTTTTTTTTTTGATGACCAGTTTCTTGAGTTCTTTGTATATTCTGGAGATCAAACCTCTGTCTGATTTGGGGTTGGTGATGATCTTTTCCCATTCTGTAGGCTGTCGTTTTGTCTTATTGACTGTGTCCTTTGCTTTACAGAAGCTTTTCAGTTTCAGGAGGCCCCATTTATTAATCGTTTCTCTCAGTGTCTGTGCTGCTGGGGTTATATTTAGGAAGTGGTCTCCTGTGCCAATGCATTCAAGTGTACTTCCCACTTTCTCTTCTGTGAGGATCAGTGTGGCTGGCTTTATATTGAGGTCTTTGATCCATTTGGACTTGAGTTTTGTGCATGGTGATAGATATGGGTCTATTTTCATTCTCCTACATGTTGACATCCAGTTATGCCAGCAGCATTTGTTAAATGTGCTTTCTTTTTCCCATTTGATATTTTTTTTGCTTTTTGTCAAAAATCAGGTGTTCAAAAGTGTGTGGAATAATATCCGGGTCTTCAATTTGGTTCCATTGGTGCTCTTGTCTGTTCTTATGCCAGTACCAGGCTGTTTTCAGTACTGTAGCTCTGTAGTAGAGTTTGAAGTCCGGGATTGTGATGCCTCCAGAAGTTCTTTTATTGTACAGGATTGTTTTGGTTATCCTGGTTTTTTGCTTTTCCATATGAAGTTGAGTACTGTTCTTTCGAGGTCTGTGAAAAATTTTGCTGGGATTTTGATGGGCATTGCATTGAATCTGTAGATTGCTTTCGGTAAGATTGCCATTTTTACTATATTAATTCTGACTACCCGAGAGCATGGGAGGTCTTTCTACTTTCTGGTGTCTTCTTCAATTTCTTTTTTCAAAGATTTAAAGTTCTTGTCATACAAGTCTTTCACTTGTTTGGTTAGAGTTACGCCAAGATATTTTCTGCTATTTGTGGCTATTGTGAAGGGTGATGTTTTTCTGATTTCTTTCTCAGCCCACTTATCATCTGTGGTATACTTACTCTTTTTAGAACACAATATTGGGAGCATGGCACTTATGCTTCTCAAGAAAACCCTCATCGGGATGCCTTCTTGTAAAAGAGAAGAGTTCCTTTACATTCCCAGCATTCTTGTGTAACCATTAAAAGGAATAAGAATGGAACATCTGGGATGGGGGAAGAAGGGAGGGCGGAAGAGGAAGAGAAGGGAAGAAGGGGAGAAGGAGGAAAACTTGAGGGAACGAGATAGACAAGATGGAGGAAGAACAGAGATAAGAGCAAGGAAGATATGCTTTGATTGAGGGAGCCAATACGGGGCTAGCAAGAAAACTGGCACTAGAGAAATTCCCAGGAATCCACAAGGATGACCCCAGTTCATAAGCAACTGAGGAGAGGGGGCCCAATATTGACTTGCCCTGTAGTCAGATTGATGAATATCTTAAATATCACTATAGAACCCTCATCCAGCAACTGATGGAAACAGAGGCAGAGACCTGCAGCAGAGCACTGGGCTGAGCTTCCAAAGTCTAGTCGAAGAGTGGGAGGAGTAAGAATATGAGCAAAGAGGTCAAGACCATGATGGGGCACCCACTGAAACAGTCTACCTGAGTTAATGGGAGCTCACCAACTCCATCTGGACAGGGAAGGAACCAACATAGCACCAAACTAGTTCTTCTGAATGTGAGTGACATTTGTGTGGCTGGGGTGGACTGCAGGGCCACTGGCAGTGGCACCAGGATTTATCCCTACTGCTTGTACTGTCTTTTTGGGAACCTATTCTCTTTGGATGGATACCTTGTTCAGTCTAGATATAGTAGGGAGGGCCTTGGACTGTTCCCTAAGCAATGTTCCTCTCTGAGAAGTGGATGAGGGGTGAGGTGCGTGTGGAGGGGGGTAGGTAGAGGGAATGGGAGGAGGGAAGGGAGTGGGAACTGGGATTGGTCTGTAAAATGAAAGAAGATAGTCTGTTTTCTTTAAAAATAAAATAAATTATAAAACAAGAATGGAGCATCTATCCTTAAGAATTTTCCTATAGCAGTATGCTAACTGACCTGTTCTACAGTGAAACTCAAAAAATGTTAGCATGTTGGCATCCGCCACTGACATGTTTACATGTGACGGCGTTCTATTTTAAACCATGATCTATGGTTTGTCTTTACAATTTTAAATCGTGAGCTACACCTTTCATGTCAAATTTTCCAAAGGCTTGCATAAGAAGTGTCTGAGAAGAAGTCTCATAAAGCTCTCTCTCGGGAGAGCTGTGCATGCAACTACCTGTTTACATATGCAGTAACTTGAATTATACATGAAAATGCCACATGGATGCCCAGAATCAGCTCTGTGTTAATTCAAGAAGTATATTAATTTTTGGATGTATTTAGTAGCAGATCATAAGAAAAATCTGTTCTTTAAAACTAGGTTCTTTTTTTTTTTTTAATTGCTGGTTGGAATCTACTATTTCAAGTAATCTACTCTTCCCATGAAAGAAAATTTGATATAAATATTAATTTCATAATACATTAAAAATGGGACACAAAGCTTTAAAAAATATCCTTAGATACTCCACATTTAGCTCTTTCAAAGAGCTAAACTGGAAGACTGCAGTTTCCCTGTCCTGGAGACTTAAATGAAAATACAATTTAAAAGATAAATGTCAGTTGCAGAAGTTATCACCTTTCTATCTGAAAGCTTGACTTCTATTGGATAATTCTATTCCAAGAGACCTTCTTGGGAAAGAGGTGACAGCCAACTCATTGCCTAATTGATTTAGGAACAGTGCCCAGGGAGACAGTCCAATTAAGTTTACAAGCTGGCAATTAGCAGGAAGCCCTCTAAATCCCTACACTGAGAGCCTGTTTACTTTAGGAAGAAGGCAAATGCGCTAGAGACAGGAAGACAAAACTGCTTTTTACAAAGCTGTTGTGAGGATGCCCACAAGGAAGAGAGAGGATGCTAGGTGCGCATGGACAGACAGTGTTCTCTTTGACAGCAGCTGAGCAATTTAAAGGGAGGGAGGCAGAGAAGGGAAAGAAAAGGTAGGAGAGAGAGAGGCTGTGTATGTTTTAAAAGCCATGGAAAACATCAAACATCCACTTTAATTAGTGCTGTAGATAGAGACATACAACTGTTAAAAAGTAGCTGGGCAAAATCTAACTGGATTGATTATCTTATAATAACAGAGATTCCAAACATTTTTGAACAATTTTACCAACATGAACCATCAACAACATTTCCACTACTAGAAGGAACACGGGCATCCATCCTTTCATGCGCTCTATGCCTCAGGTTAATCAGGCCATTTTCTCCAGACAGATCTTACGTTCAGTTTGGAGGCAAACAGAGCAAGCAGCTGCAGCTGGACAAACATCGCGATGTCTCTAAAATATAACTCTGCACCCACAGCAAATCCTGCAAGGGTTTCAAATGCATTTTCCTATTTTTCCCAAGTACATAATGTATGTTAATTTAAAAAATGTTTTTGTAAACCTAAGTCCTTCAAAGAATGTTATACAAAACCATGGAAAGCAGTTCTTGTTCTTTCAATACATACATGCTAATATAAAACTTAGAATGGTATTTCACTTTAAGGTTCCCCAGTCTAACCTTAAAAAGCTATGTTATTTTTAAAAGCTATATATATTAAAACCTTAAAAGCTATATTACTTTATTATAATATATAGACACTAAGAAAGTTCTTTAGATATTTCATCTAAAATGAAAAAAACAAACAAAAACAAAACCCACAAAGTTACACAAATATCTTTAGCAAATTTTAATTAAGTATCTGACTTAATTTCTTTCTAAACATTTGCTCTGCACAATTTCAAATAGACAGCAACAGATATGAAAAATCTAAAAGAATTTTTGTAGAAAAGTGTTACATTCTATAACACAGTTTTTCATGATGATTTCAATTAATTTTTAAAATCTGATCTACCTATTTCTTAGGGAATATTTTAGACAATTATTTCAGAAAAATTAGAAGTGAAAATTCAGATTTTAAAATATATTTATTATATATATTTGTGCGTAAGCACACGTGCTTACTTGAGTTTAGGGGTACCAAGTGTATGCAGTGCTTGGGAAGACCAGAAGATGGCATCCGCTCCCCTGAAACTGGAGCACAGGTGGTTGTGAGCTACCACATAGGTACTGGGAACTAACCCAGGTCCTCTGAAAACAGTAAACACTCTTAACCCTTAAGTTATTCCTCCAGCTCTGAAAATTCAAACTTTTAATCCATCGATATGGACAATTAACACAATTTCCAAAGTCTCCATTTTATTCAATATTCCTTTGCTAGTTAGAAAAGCAGCCACAAGCATTTTCAAGGAGCCTATAGGCAATCCCTGAAAAGTAGAGATATTATGGGATGACAAGCAGAAAACCTACCATCTGAAGACCAGTCTGATGCCTAGCTATGTCACCAACATAAACAAGGTACTTACCAGTCAAGTTGACTTACCAAGCTTAAACAACAGCACTCCCACAGGTCCTCTGTTGAACCTGAGGAAGAGGAGATCATAGATTTCTCTTCTTTCAGGCTTTTGGGAAACAAGAGGAGGAGCTATCCACTGCATTTGAATAAGACTGCTTGAAACATCAAAGAATTTGTTGAATTGCAGAGTCTCCCTGGGTAGGCGATCTTCAGCCAAGAGCTGGATGTTAATAGGGGCTAGAGCAATGTCAAAAATTTGCAGCTCCCCTTGGCTGCTGCCAACTAGCAGGATGGCACCACTTGGGTGGCAGCTTACTAATGAAGGCAAGAGTTCCGCCTGGGCCAAAAGGGTTGCTCCACGGTGAGCTTCATAGAGAATTACCGAAGAGTCTTCACAGCCCACGACCAGTTTGTCTTCAGTAGGATTCCTGCAACAGCTGATGGCCTTCGATCTTAATGGTATTCTGGTGACTGACACGCAGTGGAGTTTGTTCCGGACATATTCATAGATACAGCTGTCAGCCATGGGCTCCTTGTCTACACCAGTGGAGCACTCCACCGTCAACACCTGAGAAGGCTGTTGGGCGCCAAAGCTAACATCCAGAGGATTCCATTCCGTGCGAACAGAACTCAGAACCTGCAAGAAATGTGTTAAGTATATTAAGAAAGACCTTGGTCTTGCTTCAGCTGTCATGCACAGGGCGGCTTTTTAATCCAGAACCCACTAAAGACCAACAACTGCAGCTTAGACACCAGCAACAGCAGTAAGCAGGGGGTACACAGGGCACATAAATATTTCCGCACAGCATCAGTGACTGAAATTAAAATTTAAGTCTTAAATGGATCTGAAAATCAGTTAAAGTTGCATATGTCTCATATAAAAACTAGCAAAGTGGAATTTTATTAATATAGTCAGACTAGCAGAATATATTTAGAAGTTAGAAAAATTTTGGGGGGACTTTAAAGGATTAGGTAATAATCTCCTTTCCACACACCACCCTTAACATTTTTGAAATTATTAATAAATCATTGCCTGTGTAGACAAAGGAAAAAAGCCTTCACGCTAAATCGAGTCTTACAAAATTATTTTGCTCTCATAAAAACAAATAATATGACACACTGCTATATAAACAAGTTCTCAATAGAAAGAAATAATGTAACATGCTAGTTTTAGATGAAATAAGAAACTAAAAATTAATAAATGATACATGTTAAAACTTGTGAAAAACAATTTAAAAGCATCTTTAGTGTAGAAAAGAAAAATTTATTTGACCTGCCCACAGAAACACCAAAGCAGGAATAAAGAAAACAGACTATTTGCTTATTCATATGAAAATAGGGGGCAGTAAAGAATGGGGTTAAATACTTTGCCCAAAAAGTAAACCACTACATAATGTAGAAATATGAAATAACATTTTTATAAGACTTTTCAACTGTACACCTGCAATGTACGTCGTGTAACTTGTCACATGCTGTCTGAACTCGCTGAGACACAGCCTTAGGAAGCGGGGCTGCACACTTGCTTTTAGAGTCACAAATGTCGGTCTCAAGGCGTCCTCCAAGGTCCCTTGTCTGAGGAGAGGCTACCCTCCCCAAGCCAACTCTGACAGGGATGGGGGAGGACTGCCACCAGTTCAAGAGTAAAGACACAGAGTTCCTGAGACCAGCTACCAGGTGGCCATCTCCAAGGGAGGCAACTATTGTTTACTCCATGGTGTAACAGGCCTGCTGTGGGGGAAGGAAAGCTGCAGGCTCCGCCACAGCCAGGTCAGCCATGGAGACAAAGCTCACTGATCTCTGCTGGACAGTCTGTGCATTCTGACGGTCTCTCTGTCTCACTATTTATTCCTTACTCTAGTTTAGTATATAGTTAGTAGTCACTCAGTGAAAACCGAACCTACTGTTATCTTAGATTCCCTACGCTCTCCAGACTACACAGAACAACACACACACACACACACACACACACACACACACACACACACACACACGGACATGAAGATTCAGATTGTATTTGGCTGTGATCTGTCTCTGGGTTAGCAGTATGTCACCACAGTAATTTTCTTATATGTCAAATTGAAGTAATGGAGATATTATTAGTGCAACTCATGTAACCATTTTAACAGCTCCTTCTGAGTCACACTGTTTCCAAAAGGCACACTTGGCAGTGCTATGGAATGCTGGGCTGGAAAGGGGAATGCACACTGACATTGGCTCTGTGTCTTTACTCTTGAACTGTGCACGTGTGGGCACACACACTGGAGGATGCTGGGTACCCTCTTCAATCACTCTCTATTTCTGGAGACAGGGTCTCTCACTGAATCTGGAATTCTCCAATTCCCCATGAGTAGTTGGCTGGAAACCCAGGGACCCTCTTGTCTCTGCTTCCCAGCACTGGGACCACAAGTGCACACCACACCCAGTTGTTCATGTAGGCGAGCATAGAGACCTGACCTTAGGCCTCCAAACTTGTGTGCCAGGCACTTAGCAACTGAGCTCTCTCTCCGGCTCTTCATGGTGCTTTAAGAACTAATCTAACACCTCGGGACCAATTCAATCTTTAAGCTGCATGGTTTTAATTTCATTTTTCTGTTCAATCTCTCAAGGGCAACAAACTGAGTAATGATTTACATTTTATCCCTGGCCTAGAACACAAAATACTGTAATAGGTCACACCAAACTCCTTGCTTGCCTTGTGCCCTTTGTGCTCCCATTTTCATTCAGTTAGTAAATATTTTAGTAAACCATGTTTTAGACACTGGTCCTGGGGAAACAGGAGAAAAACCATCCTCTCCCACTGGGTGGTGGTGGTGTACACCTTTAGTTCTAGCACGTAGGAGGTGGAGGCAGGAGGATCTCTGTGAGTTTGAGGCCACCCTGGTCTACAGAATGAGTTCCAGGACACTGTGGGCTGTTACACAGAGAAACTCTATCTCGAAAAACCAAGAAAGTCCTCTCCCAGAGACTCATGTTTTGAGCAACCAGTCTCCACTTTGTGGGGCTATTTTGTAGGCAGGAGAGACTTTCTGGGGTAGAACCTGTCTGACAGAAGTAACTCACAGGGGTAGGTCGTTCAAGATTCTGCCTGGTCTTTTCTACTTCCTACCTGCCATATGTGGACAGCTGCCTCTACTGCGCATCCCCTTCAGGGTAGGCTAACTTCTCTAAAAGGATGAATTCAAATAAGCCTTTGCTCTAGTAAGCTGTCTGTATAGAGCGAGGCCGTGGTTACTGCAACTAATACAATGCTGGCAGGTATGTGTGCGCATGCGCTGGTAGGTATGTGTGCGCATGCGCTGGCAGGTATGTGTGCGCATGCGCTGGTAGGTATGTGGAAACCTGAGGTCGGTGCTGCTGTTTTCTTCCATCTCTCTCAACCTGGAGCTTTCCAGTGCAGCCAGACTGACAAGTCAGAGCTCAGGGGCTGTTTTCACAGGTACATGCCATCATGCTCAGCGTTTACATGGCACCCAAAGCCATCTCCTTATGCTTGTGGATAAGCACCCTGCTGAGCTACAGCACAGCCCAAGGCTCCTGATCATGCTGTCTGTCCCAAACTGGCACTACTATAAGGCTGCAGAGTTTTTCAGAGGTGGGGCCTGATTGGTGAAATTAGGTGATAGGGGTGAGCATCTGAAGCCTATACCCGTCCACCTCCAGCAAGCTGTCTCTACTTCTTGTCTGCTGCCACACACCCTTACCATAAAGCCTTCAATGTCTTCCCCACCAGAAAAGATGGAAACCCCCTGAAATAGTGAACCAAGATAAACTTTTTTCATTTAAGTTGTATATGTCAGTTACTTAATCATAGCAATGCAAAATGACCCAGCCTGTTTGTTCCTATTTTCCTTTGTCCTATCTGCATTCCTTTGCTCTGGTTAGAAGGCAGGACACCTACCTTATAGCTCTTATAGCCTCCTTTAGGTGAGATAGGTCAGGGGATTCTTTTATTGACCTCAGAGGAGAAACATAGAATAAAGAAAGATGAAGAAAGCTAGAGAGATCCACCTACTTTGGTTGTTTTCTCAACTCCTGAGCTTAAAATACTCAGTACACTGAAGTGTTCTATCGGCATTTCCTATATCCAATCATAACTCAATGGTGAAGTAACGGGTAAGAATCAACAAATAAACATCCTAAATTTGTACTTCCTAAGTTCTATGAAGTAATAATGCAGAGTGAGGGGACTAGGAAGCAGCAAAAGTGGGGAAGGTCTATGACACTGAAACATAAAGATAGGCCTGTCTGATGAAGATAGCCTGAAAGAAGGCGTGAACCCTGACCCCACATGGGAGAAATGAACCCCATACTGAGAAGGGTCCTGCATTAGAAATCCTGTGGCCTGATGAGGGAGCAAATATGGCTCCAGAGAAAGGACCACGGAAGAGAGTACTAGAAACTGGCAGGTGAAGGGCCAACTCAATAATGGGACTGAAAAATGAGGACTCGGATATTTTGGCTGAACTAAAATGAGAAACATAAGCAAGCTTTGAGCAAAGGAAAGACATAATCTGACTTGTGTGTTATCATCATGTGATCCACGGAGTCCAAACTGAAGCCTGTCCTACACGTTCCCAGCCGTGTCACTCCACATGTGTTCTGTGTGAAATCCAGTCCTTACTCAGGATCTAAGTCATGCTTACCAATCATGCCTAGCCTTGAACAACTTGTGATGATCAATACTGTTGGCTGGAAACAACCCGGAAGTACACAGGAGAAGAGCCTCTAGGCAGGTGTGAAGGGCAGTGCTAGCTGTCAGACTGACAGAATTGGGACTGACCTGGGAGAAGTGTCTTGACTGCACTGGTAGGTGTGGGATCCGGGACTGTATTAAAAGGGAGCGGCTGAGCTGAGCACAAGTAGATGTATTTGTTCTTCCCTTTTCCGGACGTGGACATAACGTGTGAGCAGACGCTCTGGGCTCCTGCTGCCCTGACTGTCCACCATGAAGGACTTTGCTTTGAAGTGTGACCTAAAATCAACACTTTCTCCCTTGAATTCCTCTGGTCAGGGTAGTTCAGCACGAGAAGAAAAGCATCTAGTTGCCTGCGAGAGACTATCCAGAAGAGATTAACTGGAGTGGTGCTGGTCTGTGGGCTGGGGTCCTGAACTAAGCACAAAGGAGAAGCAGCCTGGGACTCAGCATCCACTGCTCTCTGCAGCCTGCGTGCCAGCACAACCTGCTCCTACTGCCAGAGTGCTTATCTTTTGCTGTGCGGGCTTCTGTTTCAGACATTTAGTCGCAAGCCCTTATTTCACCGTAAGCTTAAAAACAACCATCTTGTGTATTTCACACCGTTCTACACCTGTGAAGCAGCAGGCAAAAACTGTGCTGGTGGGAAGGAAGTCCACAATTCTTTTTTTAAAAACATACATTTAAAAAGACTAAAGCAAGCAAAACACTGAAACGGCAGTTGAAGAATAACTCTAGAAAACTTAAATTTTAACAATGGAACCCTTTGGGCATACTGAAAGAAACAGGAGACATTGAGGGAAACCCGAACTCACACCAAACAGCCTGAGTAAAATGGCCCCCATCAGATGGCAGTGTAAACTTTCTATGGCCTGATAAGCCTCTCTGCTGACACAGTAATTCAAATCAGACCAAATCAAATCGAATTAGAAAAGGTCCAGGTT